CAGAAGTCCCACTTTCAGAGTAAACATGCTGAAACAGCTCTGCTACCTAACTGAGGATGTCAGCAGTTGCTTACTACTAAAGCTATTTCTTATTCTTTAGCAAGAGTTCTGCTCCACAGTGATGACTGAGAGCTATTTTTTATTCAAGCAGGGAACAAGCCTTTATATAACTGATTTGTCTGATGAATACCTGGGTTCACAGCTCAAAATACCTTGTACCTGTTACTGCCTGGAATAAAGATTTCTCTGCACTGGGTGCCCTCAGCAAAGTGTAACATAAACTCCTCCAGGGAGGTGTAGCTTCTCTTGCAATGTAAATGCTGGAGAAAATATCTGGGCATGCCATGATGCTGTCATGCACAATCGTAACATCGTAGACAAATCAGGACCTAAAAAGCAATCTATGGCCCCTGTCACACGGGCAGGAAACTGCAGAGGAGAAGTGTGGCTGTTTGCCCCGGGGCAAACTAACATGCAGTAAAGCGATCAGACCTACTGTGGAGGTTCTGTGGAGGTACTGTGGAGGTTCCATGGCAAGGGAGAGGTGCCGATCACAACACACGCCTGCGCGCAATGAAGAAGCGCGCGGCGCGGCGAACTGGTTTTCTTTTTTTGTGTACACTACGAATGCGCATGCTCCGTTGGGTGCGTGTGCGCATCCACGGAGACGTGGGGGGAAAAAAACCCTTTTCCGCAAGGGGACATGGGCGGGCGCCGGATACCACCGGAAACGCGATCAGACGCCCGCCCTTGCCCCGCAGTTTCTGGAAACTAGTACCTCCAAGGTACTAGTTTTTTGCTGCGCTTTTTCGGCAGGAAGCCTCAGTTGTGCCACGGAAGCACTACGCTTCCCAGATGTGCTGGTGAGATCGCGACCGGAAACTCCGCTTGTCTTCCGTATCTCTTGCGTGGCTAATGTTGCGTGTGACCGCAGCCATAGACTGGATTCTTCCAGCCTCTGAAAATGTTCTGGGCTGGGGGATGTCATCATAAATATCTGAGAATTGGTTAATACAGTAAAGTGCATTGCTAGAGGATTGCAACATATAGAATAGTGACTTGCACTTTTGATGACAGGATACAGAACTTGAATATTGCCTCACATCTCCTCAAGCATATTTTCCAGTGGAGCCAGCTCCCACATTTCTCAAGCATGAAGCATCTATCAAGAGTTTGTGTGTTTGGAAAGCAGTCCTTAATCAGTCAGACAATTCCACTGCTAAGGTTAGCATCACAGCAGTTAAGAAACTGAAAGGACTCCCAAGGTTCCCCCCGAACTGACTAGCTGCACGTGTCTGCCTGCTAGAGGACAGGACCACACAGGGCAATCAACTCTAGTTCACCTCTCTCATTTCCATCAATGACCTATCCTTCTTGACCAAGTTCAGCTTCCACTAGCTGTTCTTCATCAACCAGTCCAGAAACAATAGAAACAGGAGAATGTAGTAGAGTTTTACAGCTGGGAACTAACTTCAGGCATCTAAATCCATACAGACATACCAAAATTATCCTCTAGAGTGGATGCAGATGTGGAAGAGGACAAGCTTTGACCATTCACAGTGGAGATCATGGTAAAAGGACAGTCTCTCACTAGGATGGAAAATATGCAATTAAGCACCTGCCTAGTTTCCCAGTATGGCTGAACACCAGAGCTCCCCCCCCAAAAAAAATCAGCTTGAAAGGAGAAGGGGTGATGGAGACCTGTGCACAGGTGCAGCAGGAGTAGTTCTGTTCTAATTGGTGTGCTTTGATCTGTTGTTCGCCCTCCTTTTTTTGGATAATATTTAATTCAAGCTTGCCAGGAAATTATATAGTATTCATCTTGTGAGTCTTTTTACTGGGCAGCTGCTGGGTGCAGCCACTCAGTGGTGGTGAAAAAGCCTCTGCATATGTTTGCAGTTGTTTTTCTTGAGGCTTATATTTTTCAGAACCTTCAAAAAAAAATTCTGCAACCAGAGCTTCGGCTCTGATCCAGTCCTGCGTTCATGGAAATAGTGAATCAAGAAAGGAAAAGTGAATTTTTGTAAAAAATTTAATGTTGATTATGAATGTTTATATCCTAAATAAAAAAATGACAAAAAAAAGAAAAGAAAGGAAAAGTGAAGTTGAAAAGGACAGAAAGGGAAGTCAGTGTTGTGAGAGCCAGTTTGGTGTAGTGGTTAGGAGCACAGACTCTAACCTGGGAGAACTGGGTTTGATTCCCTATGTCTTCACATGCAGCTGCTGGTGTGATCTTGGGTCAGTTACAAGTTCTTTCGGAGCTGTTCTTTCATGAACAGTTCTCTCTGAGCCCCACCAACCTCACAGGGTGTCTGTTGTGGGAAGGGGAAGGAGATTGTAAACCGCTCTGAGACTCCTTTGGGTAGGGAAGGGCAGGGTATAAATCCAATATTTTCTCTTCTTGTTGTTGTATAGTAGCTAGAGAATCAGATTAGAACCTGGGAGCCTCGGGTTCAAACCTCCACACTGCCATGAGGACTGGTGTGACTAGTCATTCACCTCTCAGTCTCACCTACTTCACAGGGCTTTTGTATGGATAAAATGGGGAGAGGAGAATCCTGTTCTCTGCTTTGAGCTCCTTGCAGTAAGGGCAGGAAGAGGCGGTTGATAGATGAAAACTAGGGAGGAAAGGAAAGGGATAGATCTTACAAACAGCACACACGTGGGATGAGGAGGAGGAGGAGCCCACTTCCTGTCTTCCTCAGCAACTCAAGTAGAGCCACCAGGCCCAGTTCTTCGGGTGTCAGTGGTTACTGAGGAATCGGATTTTTGCATTCTTATGGAACTTCACCCTAAAATGCAAGTAGCTGGTGCCTCCCTTCTGTTGGCTGCAGTCAAATCACCTTGTATTTGTTGGACTTACAGTGTAAGGCAGAGGAAGCTAGCCCACTACCCCCTTCTGCTGGATAAAAGGTGATAATGCAACCATCATACAGCCTCGCCTGTGTTTTATTTTTCATCACTGTTTGATTGAAAACCATCTTGCAAATAAAAATATTTTACTGGCGCTGAATTGTAGCTGACTAGAGTCCAGAAAGGCTGCAACAGCTTGGCTACCTGCACTGCCCAAAGACCAGGTCAGGGTAATAAGTCTTAGGCACTCTTGCTCTCCTTCACACAGTGCAGATTTGTCCAATCTGCTGTTGTGTGATTGATTCTAGAGGAAAAGCTTCCCCTGGAACCTCTGAATGAAGCTACTGCATTGGCAGACCTGGGCCTGTCATCCTTTTGACTGAAGCCTGGCTGGAATTGTTTACAGCAAGCTGCCTGCTGCTTCTATTCAAAGAGCACATCTGGATTTGCTTAGTGAAATGAAGCAGGAAGTGGCTCCGTTATTATCTTCAGATGGCGCCAAAGGGAAATCCCTCTTCCACCCCATGTGTTCAGTGTAGCTGCCTGTTAACAGAGCGGCCTCATTGTGAAAGAGACCCCTCTTTATTGTAGAGCTGCCAGATGGCTTATATTTTAAGATCCAGTTCATGTTTCAGAATGCCACAGCTCTGTAGTTTAAGCAAATCCAAAGCATTTCACAGCATGCAATTAGATACGTGCGCTTTGAAACAAAAAAACCTTGCATACATTCAGACACTCTCTATAGAAAGGCGACAGACCTATTCCTACATTTTGCATTTAGTGGCCTTCTGATCTCAGTGTTTGCCGCCCCCACCCCATCCTATTACCTATGATGAACATATATACACTTGTCAGCTTGGGGCACCAGCCTGGGGCATTTGGGAAATTGAGCACTGACCCATCAAAGCTTATGTGAGGTTCCAGAGGAATCATTGGGTTAGTTCCAGTCTAAGTCTCATAGAGCACCACTGAGGAAGAGGAAGAAGAAACAACTTAACACTCTGCTTCCTCAGAGCAGCTCCCTACCTACGTGACTATCAGCCTACAGAAATCCTGTGACATTCCAGGGGCTAGAAAAGGAGACTGGGGGGGAGTGGGGAGATCCACCACAACCATCAACACCTTCTGCTGATAGATGGTTTAATCCAACCAATTGTAATGATACATAAGACACAACTATAAACCACAGTCCCACACTATCACAAAGAGCTCCTTTCAGTGAGCACCACACAAAAGTGTAATTGCCTTTCACTGTGATCTGCACAATTTCTGCACTTCCCTTTGGAATTAAACACCATTCTACCCCCCACACAGTGACGCTTCCTGGGACACGTGTCTCATTTACCAAATAGATAAGTCAGCCCAGCATAAAAACACTGTCCCATTAGCTCCATAAAGTTCTGGAATCTATTCTATTTAAAATATTAATACCTCACATTCACCAGGAAAATTTGTGCAAGATGCAATCCCAAATTACAAGTCTTTGAAGATGAAATGAAGGAAGATGGAGGCTGGAATCTAGCTGTGTTGTCTTGTCATTCCACTATGTAAATGGTGGAATTGACTCTTTACACTAAATAGGAAATGGCTACCTTCCTTACAACAGCACACAATCCTGCTTCACCATTTTGTATGTAACAGCAATTCACACCCGATTGGCCAGTCACCAGAAAGGCTTAATGTGTTTTTCTCTAAGATCTCTGCTGAAGCAAGTTAACAATTGATCTAATGCAAGGGGCATATTGCCCTCTAGTGGAAACAGGATAAGTCAAATACACCACAGTATCAAATAAATGATCTGCCGCACCCAGTTAAGATATTAATATATATCAGTATTGTTTAATGGGGCAGAAACTCTCCAAGGTCTCAAGCAGACAAAATTCCTTCCCATCCCCTGCTACCTGAGATGCCAAGGACTGAACTCAGGACACGTAAATGCATGTGTTCTTCTACTGAACTACCCCCCCAAACATTATACACAGTGATGCAGTGTAAACATAAGTACCCTGGAGTGTGCCATGAAGAGAGCTCTTCAGCACCGCAGTAGATATATCTGTAACATACTATTTCCCATGTGGTATATAGAATCAAGACCACAGTTGACAGCATTAAAAAAAAATTGTTTATTGAGACACAATGGGGAGATAAATTCCAACCAATACACATCCATCCAGCCCCCCAGTTTCCTTTATATCCACTGATTCAGCTACAAGGACAATCCCCACTCCCATCTCTAACTATCCAAGAATGATTCAGTGGGAAAGGGATGTTTTAGTTCACCTCATCCCCAAGACCACTATCTGGTCTAAGAGACTGTGGATCAAAAACCATTCCTGTCAAGGCTTCAAAGATAATAATGCACAGGGGTGGGGGGAATGAATGGAAGAGACTTCATACCCTATGGGACACAAACCCTTGCAGGTGAAGGGTTCATTACAACTTGTCCACAGGATTAATACTCTTGCTAGATGCCTTTGGGATTCCTCCATCTCTGCTTAACAGGGAAACCAACTTGTGCTTCAAAGCACCAGTTCCTCTAGTCTTCGGCTTATTATTCACCGGGACCTCCCCTTCATCTTCAACTCTGCCCGCCGTTGCCTGACAAAGCAGCGAGTGGTGGTACTGGCTTTCTGAGGAAGGATCGGCCTCTGCGCTGGGGTTCAAGCCAGGATGGCTACTTGAGCGTGTTGTTGTTACAGGACTGTTGTCATAGATGGGTGATAGATCACTGTCCCTAGCCTCCAAGGAATCTCTGTAGGGGACATTAGGAGAACTTGGAGAGAAGGTACGTTGCTCTCGAGCACACAGGTTTTCATAGAGATGATCTGAGACCTGCTCTCCATGCTCCTTGGGTACTGTCTCAGTCCAGGGCTGGAAAAAACTCTTGCCAATAGAGGCATAAATGATGGGTGGCTCAGGAGTCCCCATCTCTGACTTACAAGGCACAATTGGGGGCCCCATTTCCACCGTCCCCTTTGGAATTCCTGCATACAATGCCTGCATCTCCTCCAGGCTTTCCATGGTGGTGGGCCATGACCAGACTCCCACTTTCTGTGTACAGTCTTGAGTTGGGGAAATCCCAGTTTTCTTTTCTGCTTCAAGAAGAGTGGCTTTTTGGTGGTCTATGGCAGCTGAGACAACCCTGTAGACCTCTGCAGCCTGAATGGTGTTAAAAGTAAAGACACCTTCTCCTGAATCACAGCGGCGCCCTGCCTCAAAAGAAAACACAGTCTGGGGAGGGAGGGGAAGAAAAGATATTTTTTTTTTAAAAAAAGGTGTTCACTTATGACAAGAGTTCTAATAGCTGTCCGACATGAATCTCTCAGTCTCTTTCTCCCAGAACATTGAAACGAAAGTCTGGCAATGCTCATTTGTACCACAGACAGAAGAAACACAGTTTTGATGTTATCTAGAAGTAGCTGCCTTCTAGTGAGTCAGACCTCTGGTCCATCCGGAAGAGATCTTTATTTCTGGAGATAGCAGAGATCAGTTCTGATATCCTTTATATGCACAGTATGCAGTCAACTGAGTTATGGCCCCTACACATGAACAGTTCCATTTGAGTCTTACAGCATACAACAGAGGAAGCAACACAGAGGCGGTGGGGGGAGAGGAATACATTAGTCATAGTCACCAGTATTGCGGAATATATCTATTCTGAATGGAACAAAAAATGGAAAGGTGACCATTTTAACTCATGAAGCAATCCAAAGGCAAGCCAAAGTTGAAGCTGGAAACTTTAGCATGACACTTGCCACTAACAGCTGCCTGCATATCTTCAGGTAGGCACACTTCACATAGCAGGGATCATCAGCTGAGGTACAGCATAGCTATCTCCATTGGCCCTCTACAGGACTGATTATTTACCTCCAGGCATGACTAGCGCCTGATAACAACACCCACTGAGAACTATGGCAGAGTCTGTCCACACAGGCTGCTGGATGAGATGCCCTCTACTGTCTTTACTCCTCAGGGCAGTCAATGGGAGACTGGTGTCTTCTGTCCCAAGCAATGTGAGCAGCCTACCCTACTACCACTGGAGGCTGAGGCAGCAACAAGGAGGAAAATGCCACATACCTTGTCCTGGCCGTATCTACGGAGGAGGGCATAAGGCCAGGTATACAGAATCTGTCCAGACTGGGGGTCCTTCAGCTCCAGGCGTTCAGAGAAAGTCACCAGAAGGTAGTTCCCTTTCAGGCGACACCTTGAAGAAGCCTCTGTATGGAACACCACAACTGGGAACGCACAGGCTGTTGATAAAAGATATATTGCAAGAAATCAAGTGTTATGGATGCCCTGGCTTTTCACTTGATTTTAAACTATTCCAATGGCTCTTACTCAGCTTTTTAAAAAAACAAAACAACTCTGCATCAAGAAAAAATTATATCATTTATCCCTATTGCTGAAGTCAGAGTAAGAAAACATGCACATTTGCTTTTGTAGTAAGATTTGCTGATATATGTTGTAAAATTTATTCTGCTTCTGCAGATGAACGGGGCAAATTGCTATGCAGAGAAGCACCGAGGCCTCACTGGAAATCCTGTTCAGAATTCTGAATATTTTTTTGCTGTGCTTGTGCAGAATCCATGCAGCTCTGGTTATTTCTCAATTCCTCATTATTCTTTCAACGGTATCCTCACTTTTCACTCATACCTTCTTTGTTCTTCTGGGATTCACCTATAACTACAACTAGCAGTTGCTAGAGATCACTGTAACATCTACCAAATTAAGCCAAGGTATTTTAGCATCTGATCCATCAGATATTCTCTCTTCTTTACAGAGTGCACAATTGTCAGGACTTGTTTATTTTAGAACCCCTCTGTTCATTTGAACTAGTGTCCTCTGTTCCATAAAGCGTTATGGAGCATCCATATGAACTCAGTCTTTCCAAAGATTATTACCATTTTATATATAAAAAAAGAGTTCTCCCAAAATGTTATTTATTTATTTTTATTTTTTCGATTTCTAGGCCGCCCTCCCCGCAAACGGGCTCAGGTTTGAAGCAGGTTTGTATCCATGTTGAAGTGTTTTGTCTCCAACTGCCCCTCCTGTTGAGCGCATGACTCTCTCTCTCACACACCTACTGAAACCAAATTGTTGAGAGGCATGAACAACATGCTTGGGGTATAACCATAACCTAAAGAGAGATGGGTTGGGTAAGTCCAGTTATTAGAAACCTGAACTTGGAAATGTAGTTTAAAATCCTTAGCTCAGCTGTGGATTCAGTATGGAATAAGAGGGGAGATAACTTGGTCAAGTTGCCATCAATTAGTGATTTTATTTTTACTGCCATGGAGATCACATTTGAATTTTCTGCCTCAGCAAAAATGATCTTGGGCCAGCTCTGACCAAAATATTGGCACCTACATGATATTCCCACCTAGAGCAAAGTTCCTCAGCTGTATTTTAACAGAATGCCCACCACTGAAGCAGGTACCACCCCAGGTTAGCCCCTCAAGAAACTAGTTTCATGCCCTTTAGTCTCTTAGCGCTAGGTTTTCCACCCTACCCACAGGGACCAATACATACTTTCCCGCCAAGATGAGTAGATGACATTCTCCTCCATCTGGGGCTTCAGCTTGGGAGTATCTCCAACTGTGCTCGATGAAGCAGGAGTTCTCTGTATGCAACACAGCAAAGAGATTATATGGTAATGACAGCATTTCAGACATTATAAAGAGTATGTAAACAAAGAAGGTAATGTTGGAATGTTTTATATAGTTTTAGGATTATTTAAGCTGCTTACTTGTGTGTTTTTATGTAAGCCACCCTGAGCCAGTTTCAGCTGGGAGGGTGGAGTATAAATCAGATAGATAGATAGATAATAGAATAGATAGATAGATAGATAGATAGATAGATAGATAGATAGATAGATAGATAGATAGATAGATAGATTCTTGACAACTTGAACTCAGGAAGCTTTCCATGGACATAGATTCCCACCTACACTTGGTTATTTATATTTTAACATAGCAAAACAGATCTATTCACTTCAAACCCCAATTATTTCTATTAACCACTATGGCCACTGATTTTCCCAGCCTACTTCCCCTTTTCTTGGGTCTCGTATCTATTAGAAGGCAAGTCAGTGAGGTGGGGACCTGATTAACTTTTATTTTGTAAAGCACCTGATAGGTGCTATATAAATAAAATGTTTCCTTACAGGAGTCTTTCCCCTCAGCCTCAGTTCTAATATCTGTGAGATTATAACCATTCCTCTTCCTTAAAAAAAACATGAATAGAAACATTACAGTAATAAAAAGCCTAACTAGTACAACATTCAGATTAATGATCCAGTAATTGCAGTTACTCATAATTTAGCAGAACAATTAATCACGACGCAGAAAAGGTTACATTCACTTTAGAAAGTTTATAATCCCCATTATTTGTAAACCAAATCAAATAACCCAAAATGTTTTTGCACTCTTCCTTAACACCCATGAAACCACGACATTTTGTTCATACTTGAAAGATCCTAAAGTTCTTATAAACCAGTCTCTAATCCTTTTTATCTGGACTTCCGTTGTTTTGTAAGAGGAACCCTAGGCACCATTATCATGCAAAACAACACCTGTTCCTTCTCTTTAACAATTGACCCTCTCAGGAACAGAGTTTGGGCTCTATAGGTAAATTCACTGAGCATCTCATTAAAGAGACTCATATCCCCAAAGACCTTACTGCTGGACGTTGCCACTAGCAATGACAAAAATCTGTCTTCTTTCCATTGCATTTCCAACATTTCAGGAACTTCATAGATTTTAGCTATCCTTTGTATATGAATGTTATAGCAACCATCCTCAGAGCCAGACTAAGCATCTGCCAGTTTTTCCTCATATGTATTTCCAGTCTCTTACAGTTAGAGACGGCTATAAATCTTTTCCATATATTTGAACATAATCAGGCGTTTCAGTTGCAGCTAACTCTAGCAGATTTTGATATATCCATGGCAGAGAATGTGGTGTTTTTGCTGTCATGATAGTTTCAGTCTTAGTTAAGAATGCACCTTCTGTCATCCTAATCAATTTATTCAAGACATAGTTAATTTGAAATTATATGAAAAGCAGTGGTGTACAGTCCTCATTTATTCCTGAAGAGAAATATAATACTTAATTGCCCATCTTTAATCCAGCTCATAAATTTATATATTCCATACACCTCTCCATTAGTAAAATTACCCAACGCACCATATATACTAATATTGACATCAAAAACAAATGAAAATATGGGCAATGTAGCTTAGTCTAAACTTTTAATAATGTTATCAGCACTAAGCTTTCATTTAAAAGAATCCCCTTTTTGTTTGGCTTCAGCAATAAAATAGTATTTAATGGAAAATATTTTTCTAGACTCCATCATGCAGCGCTCTTTATTGGTTAAAACCACTCTGACAACTATTGGATACAGTTAGTTTCTTGATAAAGTCACACACTTGGTTCTGCCAACCACCTTTCCCTTCTTTTCTAGACATTAAATTCATTTATATGGCAAAATGAAGTTTAACAGAAGGACTTTCATGTGCAAAGAGCAAGATAATTTCATTATCTCATTTGGCATCCAACAAATCTGGTCAGTAGGAAACCTCTAGCATTTTAATTATTAATGGGAACAAACACAAATGACAGACAAAAGCAACTTTCAAAAAGGTTGTAACATTTCTTACATTATAGGTCTACTTACTTGGAAACAGCAAGAAGAAAAAGAAGGCCAACCAGAACAAAGAGATGAAGAAAAAAATAATGGTGCAGTCGGAAGACAATTGTATTCTAGTGGGTTATTTCTATATTGCAGTATTACTATATTGGAATAAAATTGTCTTCCCACTACACTGTTGTTTTTTCTTGCTCTTTACTTACTTGGAAACAAGTCTCATTGAAATGACTTGGACTTTCTGTTACAGCCTGTTCCTAAACCACAAACAATATGATTTAGGAATAGGTTGCAAATGACTTGTGAAAGAACAAACAAGAAAAATATCTGACTCAGAGACCATGCTCAGACTTCCAGAGTAAAGCATTCCTTGAGATGTTTTCCTACCTCTTTCCTGTAGCCCAGCCTAGGCTGTCTGTTATCCTTCCTAACTGCAGAGGGGTAGCCATGTTAGTCTGTTGTAGTAAAATAAAATAGAAGTCCAGTGGCACCTTAAAGGCCAACATGAGCTTTTTTTGAATCAGAGCTCTCTTCTTCAGATACTATAAAATCATTAATGATTTCCTCTTCATAGTGTCTTTAAGATGCTGCTGGACATTTTTTTATTATCCAATCTGTCCAGAGTCAGCTGGTTTATTGATTAGTCACCAATGTATGTGCTGGAGGGCAGGGCTAAGGCAAGAGAACCGTGGCGTGGTGCTATCTGCAGGATTACGCAGACCATTACACTCAAGATCTCCCCTGCCCCCAATTATTCTTTAAAAACACACACACACAAAAAACATCAACCCCCCCCCTTGCATCGTAATTAAGTAGTCAGGGGATGTCAAGTTACTAGAGCAATCTGATCCAGGATCTCTCAGTGAGGCAATGAAAATCCCCTAGGATAATAGGAAACCTCTGAGAGAAGCTGCTCTACTGAATGTTGGCTCCTTTATCCGGTCTTACATGGTCGATGTATGGGCAAGAGGAATCTCCATGTGGTTCTGTAAGGCCCAGGTGCAATTCTGTTGAATTAAGATGTTACCGAGTCACTGTTCTGGAAGGCCTATGGTTGGGGACAGCAACGGTTTGTCATTGAGCCTGTCCTCCTTTACTCTCCCCCCCCCCCCCCCCCCGGGAAAGGGTATAAATTGGTATCCAACACCATCTGAACTAGTTATGACACGTACTGTATTGTTTTAGCTGTTTTAACAGTTTTAACCATTGTTTTAACTGAATTTGATTGATATATGTATTGATTGAATGTTGTGCACCACCCTGAGCCCTTCAGGGGGACGGTGGTCTATAACTTAAATAAATAAATAAAAATAATAATACCTGAAAAGCCAGTTGGCAGACACATTCTATCCAGTCATCTGGTTCATCTGCTGCCATAATGTAGTTGCGTGCCATCATGCGCAAGTAGAAGGGTGCCGTGTCCTTGGGTGAACTGTGTTCGCTTGCCCGTTCCACAGAGACACAGTCCGAGAGGCGGATCACTTTGCATTCACCCTTGCGCAGGGTTGCCTTCTCTGCTGCGACACCTTCACGTACTTCAAAGTACTCAAGCCGCGCAACACCAGAGGGGCTATCAGCAAACAGCTGGGCCCACACTTTCCTCCAAATCTTCTGTGAGGGGGGCAAAAGGGAACAGCATAGATCCAGGGATATGCACGGGTGAACAAGAATCTGGATAAGAAACAGACTGCACAGAGGAATTTAAGCACTGACAAAACTACTGGGAATGGGGGAATTGGAGGTAGCATTTGTCCAGAAATTAGCTAGTTGCCCGAGCAGACATGTGACTATCCTTCTCTGGGAAGAAACCCCAGGAATCATAGAAATCATCATGTAGGTTTTGGGAATACACCAATGTCCCTTCGAGGCTTTTTACTGTGCACAGTAATTGTTCTGCCCAGATCTGATGTATCTGTGGGATTGTCATACAAGCACAAGAATCTCACAAAGCAGATAGTGGTCTCCACCCCATTAGGAAATCTCAAGGCCCCCTCCCCCATGATTTTAAACCACATTTCCTAGACCTTGTGGATGTGCAGGGGAGCCTTACAATGTGTGGGCAGTGTCTAGTGTAAGCCTCAGAAAGAACAATGTAAAGCTGCCAAAGGACAGTAGTGTTAGGGCTCTCGGCTACTCCTCACCAGCCCTCAGTAGTTCGAGGCTACCTAACATCAATCTCTGCCCCTTTCCATTCCTTATCAAAGCATTCCAAATTTCGTTTGCAATTGAAGGTTAGCAGACAAATAAAGGGTGCAAAGTAATTAATCTGTTTAAATGCACTTCAGTTTCACAACTTAGACATCCACTGGAGTGTTACTAATATAGCCACCCAATTGCTGAATGTGATCAGCAGGGACAGACTCCACTATACTGCACTACGAGATTAATGAATTTTTAAAACACTGTCATCAACAGGGAGAAAGGAACACCTCTTTCAAAAGAAGCCACATCTTGTGCTAGGACGCGGCATCAATGACATGGGTTGGATGGGAGCAGTTACCACTTTCTTGCAACCCCTCATCCCACTCATCTCTGGTACAACCCCCTCAATTACAATCCCCTCTGGTATAATTGAGAGCCAGTTTGGTGTAGTGGTTAAGTGTGCGGACTCTAATCTGGGAGAACCGGGTTTGATTCCCCACTCCTCCACTTGCACCTGCTGATGTGGCCTTGGGTCAGTCACAAGCTCTGGCACAGCTGTTCCTGAAAGAGCAGTTTGTGTCAGAGTTCTCTCAGCCCCACCCACCTCACAGGGTGTCTGTTGTGGGGAAGGGGAGGGAAAGGAGTTTGTAAGCCGCTCTGAGACTCCAAGTGAAGGGCGGGGTATAAATCCAATCTCTTCTTCTTCAATTAGAAGATAGTACTAAAGTGATAAACTTTGTGGTTCAGAAAGTGAGGAAGAATAGGGGGCTAGTAAAAAACAAATGGCAAACTACTGCAATTCCTAGCCAGTTTGTGAATCTTCACATGCCACAATGCGGCATTCAGATTTCTTTGGCAGATACAAATGCAAGAACAAAACCCACTTTATACCTTTTTCTCAGGCCTAACCAAAGTGACACAAAAAAGTGTGCAGCCTTTTGAGTTCACCAGGCTGGACGGTACAAAAATAAAAAGAGGCAGGGGAGCAGATGTCTCAGGTCACAAGACCTGTGTCTTGTCAACATCCTGTACAAAACGTTAAGCAAGCACTATTTTAAATCTCCATTCGTGCTCAACATTTTCCATCCATGTGTTAAGATCATGACCTGAGACATCTGCTCTGCCGCCCTTTCATTTTTATGCCATCCAGCCTGATGAAGACGTCTGGCACACTCAAAAGTGTGCCAACCTTTGGTGCCATTTTGATTGATCCCAATTAAATGTATTACATGGATTTTGGTTTTTTAATTTTTTTTTTAAATATGGCAGCTTCAATTTTCTTTGGAAGGTACAGAATTGCAATAGTCAGAACCACAAGTAGAATTTTTGCCAGTACAAGGAACATAAGAAATAAGTACTAGACTTGATGTTCCACCTGCCTCTTACACATTTTAGAGATAAAAGCTTGGAAGTAATGCAGCAGCAAGTACCAAGGAAGTTCACTGGGCTGCTTTCCTGCTTCCTTCTATCCCCTGCTAATTCAGACAGGAGGAAGAATGGCACCAGTAACCATGGGGTTCACCACAGGCTAAAGTCACTTCTGTAGGACAGATTTGCTGAGCAGTCCATAACAATCAAGACAGCAGGACGACATATAGATGCATCAGTTTACAGCCAGATGTGCAACAGTTATATCACTTTCATTCCTTCTTGCCAGTTAGCATTTGCCAAAAACTAAGTCAAAAGTAGCTACAGAAAAGGACTTGTGGAACCCAGGCTCTTAGGTGATGTAGCACAGCAGCTACAAGAACAAGAGGCAAGAATGAAATCCCATTTAGATCTCATCTTAATCATAAGCCCAGCTTTAGCCACAAGGTATAGATGGAACACTATGTCTGGGGTAGTGATGCTCTGTATTTGGGGGGGGCCACAGTGGAAGGGCTTCTGGAGTTCTGGTCCCGCTGGTGGACCTCCTGATGGCACCAGGTTTTTGACTACTGTGTGACACAGATTGTTGGACTGGATGGGCCATTGGCCTGATCCAGCATGGCTTCTCTTGTGTTCTTATGTGGCTTTGGCAATATGGAGATAAAAATACTGGCCTGCTTTATGGGGCTGTTGCAAGGATTACAGAGACAACACCTCTCCCTTTGATGAAAGAGAGTGCTATTGTGAGGAGGGGGTGGAGTGATTGTGCCTTCTTTCCCCTCGTTACTGTAGCTGCCTATGTTTTGTGGCTTTCTGGACCCCAACCCCTCCAAACCTCAGTGGCACCTTGGTGGTGTTGCTGGGGAAAAGGCCTTTTGCTCACACAGCTACATGATCCAGCCCAATGTAAATAGAGCTATTTGTACACTTGCAACGTGCTGTACAAATGCTAAGTTTTAATGCAAGGCTGTACAAACTCAAATTGTCAGAATGCCCTTTGGGCATGACTGTTGTAATTTCACATTTGCTAGCTCAGATCCAAGGCAGGTGACTGAAAATGAGAGCTGCTGAACGATCTCTTCTTGCACCAGACATCCGTTCCACATGGACAGGCACCACTGCAAGCTCTCTACGCCCCAGACAACTATACCGTTGGGGAGTCTGATATTTCAGTTTGGTTAACAGGCACCTGCAACACAACTGACAGCCAAGGAGAGATGCCCAAGCCACTGACCTGCTGGCATAAGAAACAGAACCCAGCAACATGGTGGACTCAGTCAAGAAATGCCTTGCTGCCAATACCAAAACAACCACTGCTGTTCTACAGTCTTCCCATATCAAGAGAAACACCAGGTTTCAGTGTTTCCACATACATAAGCATAATCAAGACCAGGCAGATCAGCATATGCATTTATAAACATACACAACACATGCATTCTTTGGGTGAACCTCTGAATTCATACATTTTGCCATTTTAATGTGTTGATGAATTTATTTACACTCAAGGATTACAGAACATTTGGTTGCAACCAAAAAATCCAGTAATCTGGGGGGGAAAAAGTGTGGGAAACAGACTCAGAGTCATGACTGCTACTGTGGGCTCCAATGACGACTCACAAGCTCAAGCCCTAGAGACGCTATGGCTAGAACTAGGATACTATTATGAGATACTACTCCCCTGAATATGAAGAAACTCACAAAAGTCACTGGATTCTTATTTGCGGTCCTTCCCCTCCTCCGTGACCCCTATTTACCTTCCCAAACTTGAGATGTTGGACATACAGGATCCCATCCTTCACAGGACACTCCATGGGGCAGGCTCCCGACAGGCAACAGCCCAGTGAAGCAGAGACTGTTGCAGACGGCAAGCTGTTGTGGCTGCCACAGGGATGAGTCAGTATATACGATAGCACTGGCGACTTCCTCTCCCTGCCTGGTGACTTCCTCTTTTTGGGCCTTCATGCAAAAAAGGGAGTCGCAGTAGGCTGAGTCCCAGGGGACAGTCTCTCCAAGGACACTTTTGACTTACTGGGCATATCGTCCTCAATTTGGACTATAGCACACACAGTAACTGTGGCCGAAAACAGCCAGGTGGTGCCATACAGAGAAGGGCTGAATTTCTCAGTTGAGAGGGTGTACATAAACTTATGAAACTGCTCTTGGAGTCAGATAACAGAGCAGAAATCTACCCACTCAGACCCTGCTCCCTGCCTCCGAATCAGGGCTACTGGCTTAGGGGCACAATGCTTGCACAATGCCTATATGACAACCGTCACTGACGCAACAGGCTATTGCAGCATTGTCCTGCCATTTTCTGGATTAAGATGCTGAACTTTTTAGGAGGACAGAAGTGTTCAAAGAGAACAGACAACGCCTGCTTTTATATATCTATCAACAGGCGTGGCCAAAGCAAAAAGAAGAACACAGCACCCTTTTGTGCAATTCCCAGTCCACGGGCTTGAGACACAGGACCGTGATCACACCCGGCAATTCATCTCAAGAATTAGCAGCTGCTTCCAAAAGGAAGGGGGTCCCATGTGATGTTCTTTCCCACTCCAGCTGGCAACAGCCTCTCCAGTAAGCTATACTACGCATGGCATTTGCTCTTCCAAGAACAATAAAGTCCTTCTGCTTGGCTGTGGCTGGCCAAAGGGCAGAAAGCACTCAGAAGTCCATAGAACTGTGTGCCAGGTAGTCCTTGCGTCCAATGTTGCTGACTTGCTTGGTCTGCATGGCTTCCAGCTTGGGGCAGTCTGTGATACGATGGCCCAAGCCCCCACAGAAGGCACAGCCCCGCTCTCCTGGGAGAGGAAAAAAGTAAAGGGTCAGATAAAGTTCTGTTCCTTGGCTTGGGGCGTAACAGGGGGAGAGGAAGGTTTTGGGTGGGGGAGGCAGCAGAGAGATGCCTAGAGCAAGAAGCACCCTCCCCTATGCAGCATGGAAGGGGACCATGCAATTTGCAACAATAACTGGTCCTACACTCATTTTACTGTCTGCTAGGTAACTCTTCTTGAGGTCACAAACCAGGTAAGACCTTTTCATAACTGTTAGTGGATTATGACAAGAACTGAAAGAAGCAAAAGGAAGTTTCTGTTCACTCCAGGCTGTAGCTGAGCTGCCTCTTCTGGGAAGCCCCCAACCTTCTCTATAATGTCAGACAAGACAGTTGACTCCTACTCTGTTCTCTATGAGCCACTTACCTTCAATCTCCAACATGGATTCATCTCCACAATGCAGCACCTGCAGCACAGGTGGCACCTTTTGCTTGGCCTCCAGCAGCAGCGCCTTCAAGTCCATGAGCACTGACTCATCTGGGGACCAAGAGGAAAGTTAGAAGAGATGCAGGCTAGTGTCTCAAACAGAATACAATGGATTTTGGTTACAGCGAGTGGAAGACTGTGCGGAACCAAGTATCCATCTTCTTTTTTAAAAAAGGGCATCCCCCAAAGATCCACAATACTCCTATTCTGGTCCCTGTTTATTATTTTTAGCAGTGACTCAAAAGAGAGAAAGGCTCTGGCAGAATCCTCAGTGGCTGCTGCCCAAGCAACAAGGATTCAGTCCAGCAAGCATGGGGCACCAACTCCATGTCCTTTACATCCCCTCAAGGCCAAACCTCTGTTGTGGTCCCTTGCAACTCCTCACCACAGGCTTTGTTGATGAAGGTAGTGGCAATGCCAGTATTCCCCGAGCGGCCCGTACGCCCAATTCGATGAACTGGAAAAACAATATTGACATACAGGTCAGTCAACAAACCCATGGAGGAAGACGCTGTCCTCTGTCTTATTCTTCAAGGGCCAGCAATCCTGACTTAGGCAGACGTTTTAGGACTTATGGGAATGTATACACACATGCTACACAGCTGGCACCCAAGTCTTATGGGCATAAGCCTTCTTCACTCACTCCACTTCCTCTCAAGAGAAGCTCTACATACATAGAAAGATCCTTGTAGAATTCTGCAGCCAAGTTAGCCCCATACCATAATTTTCAATCTCCTCAGGCATGTCGTAGTTGATGACGTGCTGAATGGCTGGAAAATCCAAGCCTTTAGAGGCAACATCTGTGGCAACCAGAACATCCTTCTTGCCATCTCGGAAGGCCTCGATGGCCTTAGTCCTTTCCTCTTGGTCTACAAGAGAAAACACAAGAGTTGGGAACAGAAGAGTGTTTCTCTCACACACAAAGCATATAGACCAAAGACAACAAGACTTTCTGTTCAAACACTTTGCAAAGAATTATTCACAACCCCCAGACAAAGGCCTATTGTCCCCACAGACACATAGATTAAGTCCCAGCATAAACAGTTCCACAGGCCTTTCAACCCTGATATGTACAAGAAAGATTCATTTGTGAATCTGTGAGCTACTGTCTCCTGGAAAGCTTCTCCTTAGTTGGTTTAAAAACCAAATGAAAGAAGGAGTTGATCTCCAGTGAATACAGGCCATGTGGCCATAGTTGTTGTTGTTTTTAACTTTTTAAAATCAAAAAGTCCAATTGCATTTTTGGCACATTAATTGGAAGTTGCACTGATAGGGCACCATCTTCATAGCTGTGACATTAGTTTAAATTATGTGTAGGGCATGCAACACGGCATCTGTGAAGGACAAAATCCTCAGGCCCTCTGTCACCAGTGTTCTAGAACTTCATCTGATCTTTGGCCTGTCACACCCTATGGATGCTAGTTCCATAAGCTCTTAGAAGACTCACCTTGTTAATTTTGGAATTAGGCAGTAGGCACCTTTCAGTTTCACTTACCAGTTCAATACAATAGTGAAAAGGAAAGGGGTCACACAAAGTCTAACCATAGTGAAACAGAGACTCTATTACAGACCAAACGTTTTCTGCTGCTTTTGCAGACTGTGACAGAGTCACATGTCTGTGACCACAACTTGCTCTCAGTAAATTAAAGGAATATATTCAAAGACTCTTACTGACCTTTGCCACCATGTATGGCCACAGCCTCTACTCCTTTGAGTAGTAAGTATTCATGGATTGCATCTACATCAGCTTTCTTCTCAGCAAAGAGAAGAACCTGCCAAAGAAAGCAAAAGGCTTCAGCGTTCCAACTGATGTTTTAAAGGATCCTGCTTCAATCATTCAATCTACACAAAGTTCACTTTCCCTGATCATGGAACCAGAATGCAATGAAAAATGCTGGAGTGAACACTTTTACAGCTTCCTGCAGAAGCTTCTGCTTCAGGAGAAAATCAAATGGTTCAGGCTGTTTTGAGGAATACAGAGGAATGGAAAAGCAAGATTCTGAAACAATGACCTTAGACTGAGATTGTACTCACTGGTGGTGGGGTTTTTTGCAGACACTCAAGCAGGTACACCATCTTGGCCTCCTCCTTCACATATTCTACTTCCTAACAAGAGAGAATTTATGACAGTGTCACATGGCAACACTTTTTTCTAATATGACAAAAGAGTAAGGGGACAAAGCAGATGACATCACAGATCAATTGATTAGGGATCAGAAAGCCATTAAGCTAGGAGGTGAGAGGCTTGGTTTCAAATCCCTAAGCAGCCAGAAAGTTCAGTGCATGATTATGACCAAGTTATACCCTTCAGGCTAACCTGCCTCATATGGTCATTACGAAAACCAGGCTGGATTTACAGATTGCTGAAAATTGCATTGTTGTGCTACTGGAGTAATTTGTTTTCTGACCGCCCTGTGCACACACAGAAATCCAGGAGCCGAAAAATAACCCAACAGCACAACAATCTCCAACAAGATGTAGATCCTGCTTAAGTTAGAGAAGAATTTTGTAAAGTAGCTCTGAGAAGTGGTGGTGATGGAAATTGCTGTCAAATTGCAGCCGACTTATGGTGACCCTGTAGGATTTTCAGGGCAAAAAACGTTCAGAGGTTGTTTGCTTGTCCCTGTATAGTGAACCTGGACTTCCTTGGTGGTCTCTCATCCAAATACTAACCATGGCCAAACCTGTTTAGCCTCTGAGATCTGATGACATTGTAGTACAGATTAAAAAAATGGTAAGCATATGGGTCATTAAGAACATAAGAGAAGCCAATGTTGGATCAGGCCAATGGCCCATCTAGTCCAACATTCTGTCACACAGTGACCAAAAATACTAGGTGCCATCAGGAGATCCAGCAGTGGAGCCATTTATACAATTTACACCTATACAATTTAAGAAAGCAAACATACCTGTATGACGTCCAAGCTGGCAGCTCCTGCACGCCCCACATTGATTGTGATAGGCTTCACAAGAGCACTCTTGGCAAAATTCTGAATCTTCTTGGGCATAGTGGCACTGAAGAGAAGAGTCTGTCTCTGGCCCTAAGGGAATAAAGGTGCAGAGAAGGACAACCGTTTTATTTTGCATCCTGCCACGTCTCCACGAATCCTCACTGGAAACACTGGAACCATAATGAAATGGAGTCCCGAAAAGTATACTAACAAGATACTCATCTTTTAAGTAGGGCTGTGAGTATTCTGAAAGTCTAAATACGTGGAGAATTTCTCATTAGGCAAAGAATTAAAAAACCTTTTTAAAAAGCAAGTGTCTAGCATCCATGGCTGCAAAGGTAAGAGTCAGTGCTTGGCAAAGTCTCAGAAGCCAGGGAAAGTAGGGGGAAGAGTAGTATTTCCAGTGGTTGAGGAGGCCTTAGTGCCTTACAGAGTCCCTTGTGCCCTTCCTAGTAGAGACACCACTAAACATGCAAATATATGCAAAGCATAATTTATACGGGTCATACTATCATCTTTTCTTGAAAGAGAATGAGGGTCATCCCAGACCAGAGTACAAAGAACCCCGTGTATGACCAAGCCAATCAACTGCACAGCAACAAGTGGAA